TGTTCTCTGCAGCCCGGGGGTTTCACCATCGAGGTGACCAACAACAACAGCACCATGGTCATGACGGGCATGCGCATCCAGATCGGCACGCAGGCCATCGAGCGAGCGCCCTCCTACCTGGAGATCTTCGGGCGCACCATGCAGCTCAACATGACCCGCGCCCGCTGGTTCGACTTCCCCTTCACCCGCGAGGAGGCCCTGCAGGCTGACAAGAAGCTCACCATCTTCAGTAAGGCCGGGTGCCCTGCTTGCTCTGAGCAGCTGTGGGCTGCTTTGGGTGGGATGGAGCTGCTGCACCTCACAGCTGGCAGCTGCCACAATCCATTCGTTTGTCCTGACTGTGAAAACAGTCTGAGGTGGGAGCCCTGAGCATTTGGTGACTTAATTTATGGCCCAGTTTTGTGCTGCTGTGAGTGAATGTTCAGTAGTTCAACTCAATGATTTTGTGCTGAGGTGAGAGAATGAAAGTGGCCTTGCAAAGGAGATGGCCCTGTCTGTGCTGGTGTTCACAGGGGTCTGAGGGTGAGGGAAGAGACAAGGATCTGACTCCATGTTTCAGAAGGCTTGATTTATTATTTTATGATATATTAAAACTATACTAAAAGAATAGAAGAAAGGATTTCATTAGAAGGCTAGCTAAGAATAGAAAAGGAAGGAATAACAAAGGCTTGTGGTCTTGGAAAAAGAGTCCGAGCCAGCTGACTGTGATTGGCCATTAATTAGAAACAACCACATGAGACCAATCCCAGATGCACCTGTTGCATTCCACAGCAGCAGATAATCAATGTTTACATTTTGTTCCTGAGGCCTGTCAGCCTCTCAGGAGGAAAAATCCTAAGGAAAGGATTTTACATAAAATGTGTCCGTGACAACTGTCAGTGGCTGTGTGTTAATGGCAGTGTAATTGCTGTCCTGGTCCTGTGAAACCAGGCTGGTTTGTATCCAATAGCATCAGTTCTCTCAGTTTTTAAGAAATTTCTCTCATCACTACAGTTGGAGCTTCTGTGGATCCTGCTGGAGTCACCATGATGGATTCCATCAAAATCTATGGCAAAACCAAGGAGCAGTTTGGCTGGCCTGACGAGCCCCCCGAGGATTTCCCGTCCGCTTCCGTGAGCAACGTGTGTCCCCCAAACCTCAACCAGGGCAATGGCACTGGGGACACCGAGTCAGCTGCCCCTGCTGCTGCCAGTGGGACTGTCCTGGAGAGGTATTTCCACAGTCTTTCCCTTAATTCTCCTTGGAAATGGGTTCTTGTTGTTGTTGTGGTGGGCACTTGGGTGCACTTGTGTGCTTTTCCTGACTTGGACAACTGGAGGGAATTAGTGAGTTGTTCTCACTGCCTTACACAGCAACAGCTGAAAACAGGTGTTGATTATCTTGGTAGGAGGGTTTGTGGTGGCTCTTGGTTGATCTGGTGCAGTAGCTGGGTAGATCTGTGTGCTTGCTTGTGCTGCCTAGTTCATGTTTCAGCAGTGTTGAGGAGCTCAAAGCAATTCCTGCTGCCCTGGGACATTCTCTCATTTCAACTTGGCCCTTTTGTGGTCTCTGGAGCTCACAAAGGTCAGGCCTCTCTGAAGCTGAGCTCAGTTTTGAGGAGGGCTTTGAGTGTGACCCTGCTTTAGGCTTGTGGCTCCCACAACTCGCCTTGTAGCCCACGTGCCTCAGGCTGAACTGTTGTGCTGGGGAAGGTGTTGGGCTTTCCCCTTATCCCTGCTGAGAGCCAAACCCCAAGGGTGACCTGGACATAAATTTAGTGAATAAACAGAACTTGTGTTCTTTCTGATGTCCATGCTGTGTTTCCTTTGAACTGATACAGTCTGTATCTTAAGGGTTGTCAAAACAGCAAGGACAGGAGGGAAACAGCTCAAAGAGGAAGTGGTACTGCTGAAAAATGAGCATTTCAGAGGAAACAATCACTGCTCAGCTGTGAGGAAGTGCTGGTTAAGTTTGTCTGACTGAAATTCTCTGGTAGAGGCTCAGGGCTTGAAGTGCCACTTAGGCCCAGTTGAAGGACCTGTTCAGCCATCCTTTAATATTTTGTCTAATAGTTCATGGGATTTTTTCCTGTGTTTATTTCCCTCTCCTTCCCTCCTCTGCTGTGACATCCCCACAAGATGTCCCTCTCAGCACAGACACGCTCTCTGGTTTTTCAGAGCAGTGGGATTATATTCTAAATATTCAGATATGAAAAAAAAAAATATTCTTCCTATTTGCTGTTACTTTCTGAAGGGCCTCTGGAGTAGGAACAGCTGATGGCAGGCAGGAGGCAGCTTTTCTGTCCAAGTGTGGTGTCTGCACTCCAATTTAAGCTTGGGTGGTGCTTTAAGTGGTGCTTGGCTTCTCTGTGTGAGGTGACCTGGCTCATCTCTGTCTGTGTTTTGCTCCAGAGCAGTGTGTGCTGCCCAGGCAGAGACCCTGCTTAGACTGACGCTCCCCCGGCTTCCTGATTTCCCCATTTAATTTGCCTTTTGCTTAGAATGTGTTCTAGGGAGTTTTTCTGTGAGCTTTACACATTTTTATTTTTTTTTCCTTTTTCTTTGCTCCCCCAAAGTTCTGACACTGAGTCCCTAACCACCCTGGACCGGTTAGTATGGCATCCTTTTCTCTGCACGAGTGAGTGTGTGTCAGAGACAGAACACATGGTGTGGCTTTTGGTGACTGGGGTTTTTTTTTGTTTTCCAAGTGACATTTGCTTCTTTACATTCTGGTCATTGCATGGCAGATGGTTTAGCAAATGTAAAGATGAGGTGGTTTGCAGATTTTTGCTGTACACAGCATAACTGTTGCTTATTTGACAGACTCCTCTCTGCTTTGTTCCTTCCTTGTGCCTTCTTATCCCACTTCTGTTCCCTCCAAGCTTTATGAGGGTGCCTGTGGGGAGGGGGATGTTATTTATCACCACCAGACCAGACAATTGTTCCTTCTGCCTTCCAATCCTACACTGCTATTTTTCCCCTTAATGCTCTCTCTTCCCTGCTTTTTCCTGTATCTTCCTGCTCCTTCTGGTGTGTCAGATGGCATTTCAGGTAGTTCCACCTGGGGGCATGGAGTGCTGCTGCAGGGACTTTGCTGCCACTTGTAAATCAGGTTTTCCCTGGGGACAAGTGTTTTCCCAGCCTGCTTGAAACCTCAGCATCCCTCGCTTGGGGGTCACACCCAGTGCTCTGAGTTAATTCTCCTCTGGAATATTTTGTGCTGAAACTCCAAATTGGAAAGAGCAACCTGTGTGAAAATAGCAAGCGAGTAGAGCGTTGCTCCCTGAGCAAAGTCGGTTCCGCTTTTTGCCATGTGTCATAGCCAGCCTTGATCTGCAGTCATCTGTACGTCTGGGGGCCATGGTGAATTGGGACTGTCAAGACAATCCAAGTTATCCCTGCTGCAGGCTGCGTAAGGAAATGTTTTATCCTCTTTGGGAGAGAAAAGCCCCTGTCTTTCAGCTGTGGATTATTAAAGCAGTCCTAAGTTTGTCTGTGAGCGTGAGCCAGGTTTAACTCTGGTCTGTAACACAATGAAATGATATGCATGGTGCCTGTGGCAGGTTTTATCATGCTTTGATTTTGTACTTGGCATTCGTTAGCTGTCTCTGAGCTACTCATGACTGTAGCCCGCATAAAGCAGAGTGCTAAGGAGAGAGAAGGGTTGCTGTACTCAAGCCTGCTTTCCTCTCTCCCTCCAGGCTAGTTGTGAGTTCTTTAGAAGCGCTGGAAAGCTGCTTTGCTGTGGGACCAGTCAACGAGAAGGCAAGTAACTTTCTGAATACATTGCTGAGCTTTGGAGCCGGGGGAGGAGGGGCCAGCTCAGCTCTACCTCCTGCAGCCCCGGGGGCCTGATAGGAGCAGAGCCGCATCCCTTTTGCTCAGAGCACTGATCTGAAAGTTGCCTTAGCCAAAAGCGTTTGAAACTAGTTTAGGATGACAATTGGCATTTGCATTTAGCGCTGGTGGGCTTTTTGTGCTGCCAGAGTGACCTCGTTTACAGAAACAGCAGGGTGGGAGCCCATCAATCTCAAAGGGGCTTTTCTTGTGGAGACATGTGAAGTGTTCCCTAAATGTCAATAGTAAATGGAGGGAGGCCATCAAAAGGGTATTGAGGGAGGGGAGCTGTAGGTACACTGGGTGATGGTAAATATACTGAATAATGAGGTTTGTCTGTTCTTAGGAGAAGAATAAGATTGCAGCTCAAGAACTGGCTACAGTGCTGCTGTCCATGCCAGCCCCTTCCAGCGTGCAGCAGCAGACCAAGAGCCTGCTGGCCAGCCTGCACACCAGCCGTTCAGCCTACCACAACCACAAGGTACTGCCCAGGGCATGGAGCTGGGGCTCCTGCAACCTGCCAGGCCATGGCTGAGGTGCAGCAGGGCCCTGGAGAGCCCTTCCTCCATGCAGCACAATCCTCCAGTCTCATCTGCCTTTATCTCCTGCTGCCTGCCCTGCACCAGGGTTGTGTGATTCTGTCACCCTTTAGCATTGGTTGCCCTTCCTTAGATGAGGAGTGCTGGATTTCCCCAGGATCTGACCCCTGGTTGTGCTTCAGCTGCTTTCAGTGCTGCAATCAGTTGTTTTTCTTTGTCTGTGTTATCTCTCACTTTACAGGATCAAGCACTGCTAAGCAAAGCCATTCAGTATTTGACTTCCTCAACCAAAGAAGGGAAGGACCTCGATCCTGAGGTGTTCCAGAGGCTGGTCATCACTGCTCGCTCCATTGCTATCATGAGACCCAACAATCTGGTGCACTACACAGAATCAAAGCTGCCACAGCTGGAAACAGGTAGATAAGTCTGTAATTTTCTCTAAGTTTCTGTTGTGGTAATTGGAGCTGTGCTGGGGTGTTGGGTTCAGAGTGGCAGAGACTGTATGTGACACATTTGGTAGGTGTGTGATATCCTGCTGATGAGAACATCAAAGCCTCTGGAAAAAGCCATTTCAAATAAACTTGCTGTTACCCTCATTAAGGTTTTCCCCTGCACATTTCTGAGAGGTGTTTTTTAATCTGTGCAGAGAGTGAAGAAGGGCAGGAGGCCCAGAAACACGTGGAAGGAGAGGGCTGCACCTTCATTACCCAGCTGGTGAACCACTTCTGGAAGCTCCATGCATCAAAACCCAAGAATGCCTTCCTTGCCCCTGCCTGCCTGCCAGGTGGGAGAGCTCTTCCTTTGCTGTTGGCAAGCCTGTGGCTTCTGAAGGGGCCTGTTTAAGTTTGTAAGCAGAGAATGTGACTTTTCAATGCTGCTGCTGCACTGAGGGCTCTGTGATGTGCAGATTCTGCTTCAAAGCTTCTGTTCAGGGCCACGTGTATTTTACCAGGAAGAAGGGACTGATGATTGATTTACCCACATTTGTCCTTGTGGGTGGTGTTAGAGGATATTCAGTGGTGCTGCTGTATGGAGTTCACAATATTCCATCAGACAGACAAGACTGGCTCAGTCTGGATTGAAAATCAATGTATTTGTGCTGTTAACATTGTGCCTTGAAGTCTGCAAACAAAAGATGCTTCCTGCAGTGCCTCACTCTGTGCTGAAATACAGAGAGAACTGATTTCAGTCCTGCTTTTATTCCTGCCAGGTCTCACTCATGTTGAAGCCACAGTCAATGCTTTGGTGGATATTATCCATGGCTACTGCACGTGTGAGCTGGACTGCATCCATACTGCTTCCAAGATCTACATGCAGATGTTACTTTGCCCAGTATGTCACCTTGTTCTTCTCTGCCTCAGCCTCCAGTTGCACCAGGGGAGGTTTAGGGTGGGCATCTGGAAACATTTCTTTGTGGAAGGAGTGTTCCAGCTTGCCACAGGCTGCCTAGAAGTGTGGCTGTGCCACCTGGGGACATGGGTTAGGGGGATTGGCAGTGTTGGGTTTGTGGTTGGACTTGATCTCAGAGGGCTTTTTCAACCTAAATATTTCTATGATTCTACAGTGGGGAAAAAATGAAATGTGGGCAGAATGGGAATACATAGCACAGATACAAAACACAGCCAAAACCACCCAGCCAGAAGTGAATGAAGGAGAATTCTCCCTCGTGTTCTAGTAATGTTTGTCACGTGCTGCATGTGAAATTACAAGTGTTGCTTTGTGGGAGGTGACTCGTGTCCTACGTGAACCATGACTGACCAGAGTCACAAGTGGATTTTTGGCCATTTTTCCAAATGCTGTGTAAAAGGACCTAGAGCTGAAGGAGTGTAATGCTGAACTGTTCACCTGCAGGACCCAGCAGTGAGCTTTTCCTGCAAGCAAGCTTTGATCAGGGTGCTGAGACCCCGGAACAAGCGGCGCCACGTGACCCTGCCCTCGTCCCCCCGCAGCAACACCCCCATGGGTACGCCAGGGACCCTGCTGAAACCAGCAGGGCCTTTTGACTGCTCAGAAAGGACAGGAAAATAAGGTGGTCTTGAGGAACAGAGACTAAAAAAGACTAAAATCAGCCTTTTCCCTTTCTTTTGCTCTCCCTTGCCCCCTAAATCCCTTTTGTTTAATAAACTCTCACCTTTTGGTTGATATTTGTGAATGCCAAAAGGAAATCTCTCTGATATATTCCCCTTTCAATGACAGGAAAATCTGATAATTTTATCTAGAGAGTAGTAATCTAGAGTTAGTATTTCTATGCAGTTTTCAGGTTCTAATAAATCAGTCAAAGATGTGTGCACATCAAAATCATCAGAGCACCATCCAAGAGAGGTTTTTCAGTATTGAAGCAAATTGTAGGTGTCAGGAGTCTCTTGGTAACTGAGGGTAGTTTGGGTTTTTTCCCAGCATTAGCAGCCTGGTTTGGGATGGGGTGAGGAGCTGTGCATTTATGAACTCGTGCTTTGCCACTCAGGAGATAAGGATGATGATGATGATGACGATGCAGAAGACAAGCTGCAGAGCTCTGGGATAGCAAATGGAGAGCACATCCGACAGGAGAGCCAGGAGCAGAGCGAGGTGGATCACGGGGACTTCGAGATGGTGGTGAGTCCTGAGCTTCTCCTTGGAGCCTTTCAAGTGTGCCAGGACTTAATTTAGTTCTGATGAACCTTGCAGTGCTCCCTTAGTGATGATGATGGTCTGGGGAAAGCTCTCACTGTGTTTCCTCTCCACAGTCTGAATCCATGGTTCTGGAGACTTCTGAGAACGTGAATAATGGGAATCCTTCTCCTCTGGAGGCTCTCCTGGCTGGGGCAGAGGGATTCCCTCCGATGCTGGATATCCCTCCAGATGCAGATGATGAGACAATGGTGGAGTTGGCTATTGCCCTGAGCCTGCAACAAGATCAGCAAGGTCAGATGTGGGCACTGTTGGCAGGCAAAGCGGGGATGGAAACTGGGAAAGAAATGAGGCAAAGCTGTTGGTGTCACCCCCAGTGAACCAAAGATAGCAGAACTATGAAATGTACAGAAAATGCCAGAGTTCACTTATTCTCTCAGAGAAACATGCCCCTAAGTTGTTCTCTGCTTGCAGGGAGCAGCAGCAGTGCCCTTGGGCTGCAGAGCTTGGGGCTGTCGGGCCAAGCTCCCAGCTCCTCCTCTCTGGATGCTGGGACACTCTCGGACACAACAGCATCAGGTAACTGTTCACTGCAAGGCAGCTTCTTTCTCACATTCTGACCTAAGTAATGCCTTAAAATCGGTTTGGAAGAGCCAGTTATTACTAATGGCTTCTTGTATATTTGAGAGTGTACTTACAGCTTTTTCCTGCTCTGATTGACTCTCACTGTAGACTTCTAAGGAAGTTATTTCTGCTCTTTAAACTAAAGCAGACACAACAAAGCATGTGCTGTATTTCCCTTGCATTTATAAACAACCAGACATGGTACTTTAAGTAACTGTGCATGCCTGTGTGTTTGATAGAGAAGCTTTCCTGTCGGGATATCTCCCCTGCACCGCTTTAACTGTCCTGCTGGCCACCCCAAGCTCCCTTTCCCTTTGTAGCCAGCCCCAAACCCCAAACCCAGTCCCTGCAGCCTTTCCCCGGTAGCGAGAGCGTCGTTTGCAGTTGTTCCCAGGCAGTGTTTTTACTTGTAACAGCTCTCTTTATTCTCTTAGCTCCAGCCTCTGACGACGAGGGCAGCACGGCGGCCACGGACGGCTCC